AACAGGTTTGCAAAGTGAAAAAGCCCAAAGTCCAGCCCAAAGGGAGTTCCCCTCTCCCACAGAAAACAGCTTGAACGCTTGAAAACAGCTGGTTTGTAGTCCAGCCCTTCACTTCCTTTACTTGTGACGTCACAATGAAAACGCGTCATAAAGCTTGCCAAGCGGCTAGCAGGGCTCAGGCACGCCCTCAAACCAAGCTAGTCTGAGCGGAGGCCCTTTGGCTCGACTCGCCTTTGTTTGGTTTTCCATTGTAGAAATATTGTACCTGTATCTGCTTCCAGGTACTTTTTTTTGTATCACCTCACCTCCATCGAGGTTCCAAGCGAGCTGAGGGATACTAAAATGTAACGTGAAAACACGACAGACTGCTGATTGGTCAGAGAGAACATTCACTATTCACTGCATCATCATTGCGTGCGCCAGACAGAGGCCAGCAACAGAAAGTTTTATATTTTACAGTTTTCGTATGGAATTTCATCACTAAATCCTTTTCTGAGAAGTTTTGAGGTGAGAAATCAGCTGTGTAGATTTCAAATATTGACAGTTTTACGAGAAATGATGATATGAGAAATGTGATGAATATTTCCGGAGTTGAGGAGCTCCGCAAGTGGCTGCGGGGGAAGCCTGAGACAACCCGCAGGAGGAGCATGTGAGGCCGGCCAGCAGAGGAAAACACAGCTGGAAGGTTTTCATACCGCTGTCTTTATATTCTGAGGACCGTTGACTGTATATATTTTAAGAGCTGTGTGGATCGCTGGTGTGTGTGTCGCATTGAACATTACGTCGCGGCAGTTGTGTGTGGCGTTGTTATGACAACAAGCTACATACTATCTCTGGGTACTATCTGCAATGGAAAACAGAGCAGAGCTGTGTAGAGTCGAGTCTATCGATTTGCGCTATGGTAGCATTTTCCGGCAAGGCAGCATAGATCACACTACCTTGTTTATTACGACCTGCCCTTCTCTGCTTCTGATTGGCTAGTAGTGCTAACCTGGGAACTGTGCATGTGCAACTACCAACAAAGATTTTGTACAAGTAAGATGCATCACTCTGTAGCTCAAGAGCGGAGCGTACAACACATAGGGTGAAAAGAGGAGCAGCAGCAATGTGCAGTATGAGAAAAATATGATGTTTTTTGAAAATTAAACCATGTAAACCTGTTCTGGTACAACCCCTAATTAAGATTTTGAACCTGAAAATTAGCATAATACCACCAATCTTTAAGCACTGCAGTTTGTGTTTGTATGCATGCACTACTGGATTAGCACAGCTTGTGGGATGTAATGCATTCATTTTGAATACAAATATAGCACAGCCATACACATGCACTTCTCAACCTGTCTGGCTTGAACCCTTGGTGACAGCCAGCTCCTTGGTGCTTTTGATTGAAATTATTTCCTTTGGTTTATTTAACAAAAAGGGACTTTAATCATAATAAAGTGAGACATACAATTAGAGATGTGTATTATAAATGTCTAACCATTGATGCTGTCAGGTTTATGCAGTATTGAGAGCTGTTGTTAAGCTGATATCAGTACCAGACATTAGAGCCGTGACCCTGTTTGTAACATTAGGAGTGTCCCAATAACGAAATTTGTTTAAAAATGTGCCATCTACAATTTTAAATCCCACTCTTGCGGAAAGTTTTTACTGGCCAACTGCTGGAATCACCATAAAACAAGGAGGTTTAAATCTTGATATTTGAAGTGGTATTATGTTACTGATTGACCCTCTGTTTATGCTTTTCATTCTTACATCAATAGGAGTCTCATTCCCTGATTGCAGCCACATACGATTTATTTGCATTTTGTTTACAGCAGGCATTGATGCTATGACTCCAGTGATCATGACATTGCCACTTAGCAAATTGCCATAGGAAACTATCCCAGAAATAGGTTTAAGCCTCTGTGACAGCAAGCATGCAAGCTACTGAAGTGCCCTTCAGCAAGACAATGCAACACCTCCGGGAATGCTGTTCTGTAGCTGGAACAACACTCTGACCTCTGTGGAAAGGCAATTTCCATAAAGACAACTACCTCTTTGATTACATGAATAAAATACAAAATATACAGAGGTGTTTGTGACAGAGTTCAATACATGGAAAACATCTTTCTCAGATAAGAAAAGGTTTCAGAGAAAATGTAGAAATTGCACTTGAATGATGCAATGATAAGTCTAAGTGCTAATCAATGTCAGCCATAATTACTGAATGTTGCAATGTCTTTTGCTTAGTGGCTTGATAAAGTGTTTTCCAAATCCCCCCCCACACCCATCACATTTTATTTTGTCTGTTGCATGGGAGGATATAAAAAACTGGGCTGTTCCCAACCAGAGGGAGAGGACCGTCTCCTGGGAGAGTTTGCGACAGACGCGATTATCATCCATCTGTTCAATTAACTGTCAGCTGTCTCAGAAAGGAATGAAAAGGGTGCAAAAATAAAGTACATTGATAAAGTCAGAAGGCAAATTGAAATAGTGGCCTCATGCATTTGAAAGCGTGAAATATTGAAATGGTCACATAAAATGCAAACTGTAAAAAAACAGAAGGATTTAGCTAATTTCCGACAAGAGCCCCACAAAATATGCATAATATCGATATCTTGCCTCTCTGACAAGTGATAAGGATAATGAGCTTTTTTTTTTTTCCTGCTGGATTCAAGGAAATCACATTCTCTATGTTACAGATGTAAGTCTCATTATCTGACCTGAGTTTATTCACTTCAATTCCCACAGTCTTTGCTCACTAAGCGCATCAGGCTGATTAAAGAACTTTTCTAGGAGACCAAGCCTGTTGTATGTGTGGGTCCCGTGTTATCACACCACAAGCACAGCCCTCTGTTGGCGGCCAAACAGATAGTGTAGCCTACCCATCCCAAACCTGGCTTTCCTCAGACAGCAGCTCATCACCATCCTCGATTCCTCAGGTTCCTTCTCCTTCAAACAGCATCTCACACACACACACACACACACACACACACACACACAAACACACACACAATGTACCCATCAAAGCATCCATGTAGTGAACTGCACAGCACATTTGCAAAGATATAGCAAACAGAATTACACACCTTTCAGAAGGTTTGGTTTGCTCATATTTCCATTCGCACATTTAAATATATCAGAGGAGTTCTTATAAAGAACATAAACATGTGGTATTGTGAAACAATAAATGGTACATCCTTATTGAAAGACAAGCAATTAATTGTCAGTGATTTCATTCATCAAGCAAAACTGCAAAACATTCACTAGTTCAAGCTTCTCAAATATGAGGATTTGCTGCTTTAATAAGCTTTAAATATAATTTAGTCAGACATGTCTTTATAGACATTTCAAGAGAATGAATTAAAGTAATTATCAGTTACATTTTATAATTAAACAACTGAAATATATATATATATATTTTTTACATTGGACTATATACTAAGCTGTATATGCTGTGAGTCAATATATTACTGTGATGGAAAGGCAGTCACCCCACCCGGATTTGAACCCGGGTCTACAGGGTACCAGACACGCACCGCAACCGCAACGCCAAAGAGCCAGGCTTGTTGGTATGGCAGTCACAGCACATACTCAACCGTAGTGACCAAGTTACCTTGGAAAAGTTTTACCTCAATTTTGAGGGTGTCAATACTCAATACAATATTGATATACTCCCAACACACTTCTTAGAAGTGACTGTGATGTTTATACTTTCTTTAAACAGGAAAAAATAAATAATAAATTGCCAGGCATACACGTTTATATGAATCTTAAATGTTACCTTTGTATTCATGTTTGGTATACTCTTAAAACAGATGCATTTCAGTTCCTGTTAAGTTATGCACATAATTAAAAGGTTGTTAACAAATAGTATTAAACACCAAGCAATATTATGTAGTATTTATCTTAAAAAATCACAGCTTCAAAATCCTTTGGATGGGCCAAAATGTAACTGCAATCCTGGCCATGAAATCTAGCACTACAATGGCGTAATGCTTTACAACACCATGTCACACACCAAATTCACTTTTCCGCAAGCAAGCTATCAGAAGAATCACAGAGTACTGTATAGAATGTACAATGTAAGTTCTTTGGAAGGAGATAGCTCAGTATGGATATCATTGCAGAGGCTGCAAAACGAACAAAGAAGACGTCGGGGGAAACGTGCAAGAGAAAAATAAGGAACATTTTTATTTGAATATAATTCTTATAAAAACACATTGACTCTAATAAAACCAGGTAGGTTGTTGTTTTTAACACCTTTAAAGTAAAATAACGATCTTTTTATATGAAATGGTCACATTTAAATTACCGCTAAATAAGATGCAGTGTTTCCCCTAGGATTTTTTTCAGGGGGTGTTGGTCGCCCCCCCGAAACTACCAGTGTTGCGGAGCGGCCATGTTACGGATAGATGGTGTCGTCATCGAAGCGACACACTCATTTTTGCCTGTTAATGTTCGTCACCTTCTTCGTTCCTCTTCGACATTTTTATTGCTAAAGTTACCTCCAGATGGAGCTACAGTTATGGGGAGATGAAACTATGGATAGGGCCCTATGAAATAGATCAAATTTTTTGCCAGATTCCGTGTTTTCTGTTAAAATTTCGCTGAATTCTGTGTTTTACACTTTAAGCACCTTTTGTCATCAAAGTGTGTAATCATGTGGTGGTGAATCAAATTTCAACAATTCCATAATAAAATATTACAAATTGTATCATGAAAATAGTATATATTCAAATGCATGTGCAATTATGTATGGGGACAGATCACAATAAATGTAGGCTACTACAACAGTAGGATGTTAAAACAATTATAATCCTATTTAATAGGGGGACAATTCAGAACAAATGCATTGTTGCAGTACATGTATTGTGAATTGTCCCATATCAAACACGTTATTGCGTGATAGCCTCCATATGCTGCTTGACACAGGATATAAGTCTGATGACGCTACTCTCACGTGGGCAGTGTCCCTCCTTGTTTACAAAGCCTGACTAAACGCATGTTTTGAATTTTTTTAACAGATAATCTGACTGACCACCACAGCCATGAAATCTACAACGAGCTGGACTGGCGTCCTGCATCTGCTGATGTGGTTTCACTTCAAGTTAGCGCTTGCTAGTGCGCCGTCCTCGATATGACAGCATGTATGTCTGTGTGGAGGAGCCGCTAGGCCTACTTTTGCGTCGGTTGCTGTCGAGTTTTGTTGGCTATCTTGCCACCCAAGTTTCAAGCAACATTATGTAACTTTCTACCATAAAATAAATAAAACAGCTGGTGGAAAGAGGGTAGCATCACTGGGCTCAGCAGCCTCTGTGGACACAATGTTTGCCAATGACGGACGGAAGAGGATATTGACAGGAGGAAGCTAGGAAAACAGAGTGACCAAGCATGAGGGAGGCTCCCAGACATTGAAAAGAACTTCTCGAAGTAAAGGGCTGCAAGACAGATACCGAGCTGGCATTCTTTCTGTTGGGCTAGTAAGTAATATTATCTGGCTTGCTATGTATTGTGTCACACTTGCTTGATGTTTGGCTATCTTAGCAAAGTTGTTGATCATAATAATAATAATAATATAATAATAATCTTTATTTGTAGAGCACTTTTCAAAAACAAGTTACAAAGTGCTTTAACAAGTGTAAAGACAATAATACCCAAGAGACAATAATACAAAACAATACAAGATAAAAGCATGAAAACATTGAAAAGACTAAAATACACGTTTATAAGTATCATAAGTACTGTAATCCTAACAAAGCCATGTACAGCTGTCCTTATTTACGACAGCGGTGAATTACACTCTGAAATGGCACCAAATCTTTAAAAATGTTGCTTTAACATCGCACATGCTCTTTTACAGTGGTATCTGGTTGGAAAGGCCATGTGAGTGAGTGACTTGCGAAGGCAACACAGTACCTGGATGAAATTATGTTAGAGATCCTGTGTGTTTGTGATGGCTTCTTCCTACTTCCACAGGTAAAAATATTGTGAGGTCTGCTTATCACCAAAAAGAGCCTCAGACTGTCTGCGTCTGGTAGCCATGTGGGACTGGTTATTTGGCTGTGTTACTGTATGAGTTTATATGTATTTTACGAGTTACTTAGTTAAGGGAGCTTGCTTTGTGGTCATTTGCATGCAGCACTGCAAGGTAATTTACAGACAATACATTACATTTCAAGGCCATTAATTCGGCCACTTTCAAAGGCTGACAGTTGTCTGCACTGAAATGATGTTCTCAAAAGTGAAATTCACTTTTATTCGGTAAATCATGTCAGATGTATTCCCATACATATGATCTTATTTTAAAAGGATGACAGGATGCTTCTTTATTCCAAGGACAATATGTTCACCTTCTATCAGAGGACACAGTTATATAGCAAAAGAACTCGAGCAGAATATTTGACTGCCAGATCTCATCAGCCTCGGGACTGACGAATCTGTGTCCGATCATCACCAGCTTGTATGCTCCTCCTAGGAGGTTAGAAGCCTTAGGGGATGTGCAGGGAGCAGCAGGGGGACACATGCCTCTCTTCTCCTCTCCATACACGTCAGACACATGCAAGGAAAGAAATACCGTGTTGGATCAGTTACCACCACCACTCTCCCTGGTCCTACTCCAAATTTGTACTGCCCTTTAGTGGGCTCCTCTTGTGATCATAGAACTTGAGTTACAACGTGTAATCATATTCCATTTCATTTTATCATTTTCTACTGCAAAGATAAATATTTCGAGTAAATGTTGAAGTGCTTGCAGGGATAACTGAGTTTTGTCAACTGGCCCAGAGCTCTTATCACGTCCCAAAGTGGCCCTTGAACTAAGCTATTTGACTATCACAGATACAGGATGTTATAAGTCAAAATTCATTCCTTTCTGCTGTATTGTTCCATAGATTTTAGTTAGATCAGCAAAATTCACATGCTGAGGAAAACAGGCCGTAATCAATTTCACCATCCTGAAGTCTTATCAGCTCTGGCAGATCCTTTTTTATTTATTTATTTCAGCTATCTCCGTATTCTCAAATGTTGCTACCTCTGCTGAAAAAAACAACACTTTTTCACAACAACTTTATAAGACAGGTTGTTACCAGGAGGTGAAAGCTGATAACCTCCTGGTATGCTCAGAGGATATTATTCAAACTCATGCAAGCAAAAAGGCATCAGAGATAGGCTGGTAGACTGTTTGGGGTTTTCAAACAGGAACATGACAATATGACAGGATCACGTTTTTCTGATTGAGGGTGTGGATTTATTAATCTGTGGCTGTTGACTGGGTTTTATTTTCTGTTATACGACTTATATTCCTGCGGCATGCTTGATCTCTTTGAATCAGATTGAACCTTATCAGAAGAAACAGACTGTGCAGAGCTATCTTAAGATACTGCAGCAGGCTGAGCTCTCTATCCATGTGTTGTTCGATAGGCACATTAGCCACATCATTATTGCAGGCCCAGTGACACTGCCGCTTCTTTGAGGTAACCCCCTGTTGTCGGGCTTGCTAAATACCTAATTGAAACCCAGATGTTTCTCTCACATAAGCATTAAAGAGGATTGATCTGGAGCTGATTTCGTGCCCCCACTGTGATAATACGAAAATAAACAAGATGCTCTGGAGCACCCCAGATACAACCCGCTTTCCATCTCTCCGTCAAACTGAATGTGTTTTTCCTGATCTTTTATGAAACAAAAAAAATGTTACACCTAAATGTGTCACATCTTTCAGATTCTCTGAAGCTTTACCACAGATGAGAAACAATTATCTTAGAATTTACATGACTCATTTTATGATGTTTCAGCCATATTAAAATGTGTGATGGACCTGGCTGCTGCCCACAGCTAGAATTTATTCAGACAGAGTAATTTTGTCTTGTGTGCACCTCCAGAATGGTCCCTGTGATGAGCCCTGTGTCACTGCCCACCCATTTGCTGATAGCCCACTGGTCACTCACCAACTCTCTCATTTTCTCTCTGCAGGCCTTTGAAGCCCAAGACTGAAATTAAAGATCTCCAGATATAATCCTTTCCTTGCAGCACTTGGGTCTTCTTTTTCCATCTTGCTCAGCAGTTTAACTTCACAGACTTTGCTACGCACAGTAACATGTACTTTTGTATAGCACTGTAAGTTGCATTTTATTGTATGTTACACATGGAGATGCATAATCGATGAAGATCATCTGCCCCATCAAATGGTTACATTTTACTTGAATTCTTCAGTTACCCATTGGGTTTACTTTCTCTCAAACAGCTAAATAGCCTTATGTTTCTTGAAGATAACACTTCAGATGATGTTATTGCAGTTTGCCTTTGCCTTGCAAATTGTAATTTTGATCTACGTTAATTTTAGAGGTAAGTTTTCCGCTTAAAAGTTTGGGCCAACTGAGAAAAAAGTAATTTTTTGTTATTGCTAGAAGTTTTTCATATGCTGAGTTTGTGACCGCCAACTACAGATAATAATCCCACTCAGATGACAGAATAAAATATATCTCCTGCCTGCAGTGCATTTCCTGAAAGCTTAGTATAAGAGCTATTGATTGAATCTGGATGCACATCTGATGGCTTTTATAATTGTTAATATTGATGGCAGTGCAGAATATTACATTGAAATTTGCAAGAACACAAGCAGTGAAATTACATTCTGTCTGCTGCCATGCTGTTAAAAGCATTAAAGTGTATTTATGTAGTGCAGACATTGTCTGTCTTCCTTATTATGTTTATTAATCAGCAGACAATCTCCTCTAAAAAGTCAAATCATGCCTTTCTCTTATATTCTACACTGACTGATTAAAGGGACACACCAATCCTTTTCTACTTTATCTTATTGTTTTAAAATTAGATTTGTTTTGAAGATGTTATGCAGCTATAGGAGATGGAGCTAAAGGAGATGCATGACTCACCTGTCCTTTTATGTGGACACCATGATGTTACTTCATAAAAACTGCATTGTTATCTTTATGATCCCATATCTGAAAACATACACAATGAATGAAAATATTTACAGTACAGACAAACAAACAAAATGGTGGTCTACATGGAATTTCAGAATCCCATTTGTTTCTAAAATGGCCTACACAAAACAAGTACCGTATGTGGTCCTTAAAGGGATATTTCAGTATTCGTAAACCTGGGCCCTATTTTCACATATTTTTTTGGGTCGAAATGATTAGTAGGTACAAAAGATTTTAAATCCGTGCAGTAGATGGCTTGAGCCGCGCTGCAAACCCGGCTGCAGTGGCTGGTTGCTATGTATACTAACCCCAGGTATACAGTTAATTAGCACTGTGCCATCTGTTACATGACACCTAGTAGGTTTTGGAGCATGATGCTGACTGACTTAGAAATTTATTTTCATACTCTGTTCCTATTTCGAAATGCCATCTTATTTAAGTGTTTTCTGCATCAGTACGAGACCAGGTGTGGCCTTTTGTGTCACTCATTCCTGATAAATGTATGCTAATAAACTGCTGGCAAATAAATGGCAAATAAATCATAAAATATAAATATATGTTAATAGGCTCCAACAGAAAGCATGTGTCTCTCTGCAAACACTTTTAATGATATATTCCTTTGAAATAAAGAAATGAAATCACCCGCCTCAGGCAATAGTCTGGAATCGCCGGGGCACGATGCAGTCAGCATTTCAAAATGTCCAATCTAGGGTTTTTGTACATTTACTCTGCATTAATTTACATAGTCCAAGAAAAACAACATTTCCTATAAATCCATTTCTTTTTCTGTCATCACCCGATTTTTGCTTGTATGTTTATCAAGTCTGCTTGCATGTATGTGTTTGATTACCTGCAGTCAAAAGCAGAGAAATGGCAATCTGTCATAAAAATAACAGTAAACAAAACGTCTTATTGCAATAATTGATATTTGTTGTTTACAAACAGCAGATTGGGGGTGCAGCGTTCTGGAAACATTCACTCAACAAGGGGTTGGGTTTAATGATCATATCGTAGGTGACACAGCGGATGACAATATAATTACATAAACAAGTAATTTGGTTAACCTAATGCTGAATCATCAAGCTTCCGAACTGAAGGATTGAGACTCTGATAGTAACATAGAGGCAGAACAGCTGTGTCACCTTCGGGTGTCCTCTTCAGAGTGTGACAGAAGGAGATTTTTTTCCTCATTATTACTTTGTAAAATTGCTGATGTAGTCTATGTTGACAACACTGCAGAAGTTTTTTTTTTTTACATTACTTTTTCGACCTTGTAGATAGAACTCTTTGCTCTCTAGATATTCAGTCTAGAGGTGTGGTTTGTGGGAGTATCTGATTTTAAATTGCCCTTACATATTCCTGTGGTGTTCTGACGCCAAGGTAAGAGAGTCTTTATATTCTACCAGGAGTCTCGAAGCACCACTGGGGTTGTTTTCTTGCATGGTAAATCCTTGTGTAGAGGACCAGGAAGGATGTCAATTATATTAGGCATTTTATCACACAGGACAGGCCTGGAACATTTCTGCAAATTTGTGTTGTGCTAAACCGCTGCTTTGAATGCTAGCACAAAAGCTGGATTCAATTCTTTCTTCATTCAGCAATCAATTCAGCAAAGTGGATATTCTTCAAAATTAAAAAAAAACTGAAAAGCCTTTGGCATGAAAAGGTTGTCATAACGCACCAGGAGATATCAGAATGAATTCTCGACCATTAGCAAATGAGGCAGTTTCTATTTACAATTTGAATTGATTGGATTGAAAGCGAATCAACCCAGGCTGGCACACATGGACATTTGTGACAGTAACCTGCCTTCAACAGCTTTAGGAGGAACAGTAATGCTAAACCGTGTCTATTTATAGCACTGATGTGTGAAATAAATGTGGCTTATTGCCATCAGGAAGGTACAGTGATTATGAAACCATGAGTGATTTAGTGACGGCTGATAGCACCCTCAGAATGATCATTTATTTTTCATGTCGGGGGAAAGAACTTCTGTATGAGAGCAGAAACGTCCACATTTTAACAAGGCAGCCAGTCAAAGGGCTGACAGCCTATCTTGGCTATAGGAGGTTGAAGTGGCTTGAAAATGAGCCTGCTGATAGATAGTTAAAACCATGTAACTTAGCAAGTGCTGCCATGCATGTGATCCATCTCATTATCCTTAGAGCAGAGATTTTATCCTGCTGCCACTGCAAAAGTGCCTCCGTGCTGAGATGTAGCTGTTGAATCCAAAGATAATGCACAACACTTTTGCACAGTTTCAACTAGAGCTGAGAGCCACAAAATCAAGTGTGAATGTATTCATATAGCTTTGAATATGGGTAAATATAAATAACTGAGAACGTAAGGCGGTTAATTTGCACTTGAGAAATGGACCGGGCAGATTCTGGGGGGAAGAAAATCAGCCGAATTCACATTTTTAAAGTAATAATTAGGTTTTACATACTAAAGAAAAAAATCTAAATTCAAAAACTGACTTAGACACTAATCATTTTAATCTCCACTTTATTTTGTATATGTGAGAGTATGTAAAGACAAATTGTCGTTGAGCCAATGAAAAATCTACTTTCTGTCAACTCAGCTTCCTGCCACAATAGCTCTCTCTTTGTTTACTAGCACATAAGCTAAGGCTAATGTTCACTCATTAGAGGCAGCTAGCTAGCAGACAGAGGTCAATTGTATCCCTCTAGAAATAACTATGTGCCAATACAGTATACTGTGTGTTGTTCACATCATGTTCCAGCTACCACGTTTACTCGTCTACTGTAGTAGGTGAGTAACAGGATGTGACTTTAGCTACATTATTAGAGATTGATTTCCTCTTTAAGTCGGAAACAGTTTCCTAAACATTCCCCCGAAGCAAAGAATTATCTAACTCTGTCTCTCTCTCACACACACACACACACACACACACACACACACACACACACACAAGCTACACCCATACAGCCACATGCACAAAAGTACATCATCTTTCCTTGTCTTGTAACTGAAACACGTCAGGATTCATAAATAAAACACTGAATGCCTGCTCAGTACTCACAATTTGAAACGCTGTCGGCTACAGTATGTCATCTGTATTTCTTTGGTTGGCCGTCATGTTTGTGTTTTAGCTTGGATTTAAAATAAATAAAAAAAACACACAACAGCCCTGAACTATAGAAGCATATTACATTTGGCTTGACAAAGAAAAATCACCAGGTTTTCTCGCAGTAACAAGGTATTTTGTTATGATTAGGAGATATTTTCCATTCGTTTCCATTCTTATAAAAAAGGATTTACTATCATCAAGGTTTTTTCCCTCATTATTACACACCTATTTGGCTCCTTACATCCTTTTCCTAACCTATAAAACACATCAGTGCATAGCTCATCTCAGCTTTAACCACATAATGCAGTTCCATCTAATTATCAATATACTGATGATGAAATGCTACAAGTAATCACTTTTATTAAAGACCTAAATACAGTGAACTTGTCTTATATTAGATCACTGACTAGTTTGATAACTACAAGCTAATCTAGTGCATTTAGTAGTTTTGGCCTTCCTTAAAGGGATTTTATATAGAAGGACTAGTCTAGAATGTCTGTTTGTATTTTTACAATGTTGAAGACAGTATATAATACTCAAATCAAATATAATACTCCAATACAAGTGAAAGTTGTTCAGTCAAATTTTTACTTGGAAAATGTAAATAAATGTAAGTATTCAGAAGTACATTTTCTTCCATTTCAATCCATTTTTGTATCATTGGCAGTAATAGTACTGTGTTTATTTGACAAGATTAAAACATGTATTTATAAAATGTCTTTAATCAGTAATGTTTACTCAACGTTTTTGCTGGATAACTATTAGTATGTGTCAGCAGTGCATTCACACAGGACCCGGTCCCAAACCACTTGGCAGGCAAATCCATTACAATCCATAAAAAAGCATTTGATTAACCATAGCCTAAAAACCATAATTACTACATGCACAGACAACTTTATTTAAAATGTTTATCTGGAATTACTTTGCCTCTGCGTGCTTTCTCAGGTTGGATGGCACATTTTGTAGGCTTTGATGAAGTTTGAGGTAAGCAGAGCAAACATCCAAAACGATATGAATCTTGATTCATTTCAAAAATCTTAAACATGGACTTCAGATATGGCCATGGATGCTCTGGTGAGGAATCGTCATCTTTATTTGCCGAAGCCATGATTACCACCACATAGTTCAAATTAGGTAGGTAACAAGAATTAGGGCTGGGCAATAAAACAATAGTGCTAATTATCGCAATATGTTTTCCTGAATAACAAATGTTCAATATATCGTCAATAAATATTTGATTAAATTCATTAGATTACCGATAACGATTACCGCTTAATTTTTCTATCAAGAGGTTTATTTTGTTGAGGCAAAGGGACTGAAAAAAGAGTTACTAATCATATTTTTTGAAAAAAAGATTTTATCATAATTGTTTTGAATGTTCTACCTCAGATTTGTGAAGTGATCCACTGTTTGGCAGAAAGTGTTTGTCACGTTCTGATCATAAAGAGTAGTTTAACCACACAATTAACCATCTGACCCTTCAATTTTAATTCAGGGGCAAAAATCAGCCTTTAAACTTGAAAGAAATTATGATCTGACATTTATCGTGATAATCGATATCGAGTGATATGAAATGTTTTTATTGTGATAACATTAAAGTAATGTAGTGGATTCAAATATACAATTATTTCCAAAAGCATTAAGTTTTGTGTCTCAAATCAGACACCAAAATGATGCTCCTAACACAGAGTCTTGTTAAAGGTTAAATTTACTTCAATCCATTTCACTTTATTACAGCATTATTTATCCAGTATAGGACAGTCAGGTGGATTCTATTAAAAATGCAAGCAGCATCTGCATATGTATCCTATTGAAGTGCAGTAAGCAGAGGTCAGGTGTCAAATGCATGTATCTATATTTAAAATACCTTACCATTGTCCACTGTTAGATTTTTATCTTTGGCCACAGAGGTATTTTTCCTTCAATTTGTCCAACACTGAGGTACCAGGCTTGAAAGAAGCATGAATGACTTGTCATCTATTGTTTTCTGGGCTTTTCTTGATTTTGACCTACCTGGAGTTAAACTTCCTCTTTTCTTCTTTGGATAACATGTTTCTAATGTAAATACTCCGTATCTGTATATCGCCTTTCTAGTCTTTTTGACCACTCGAAGCGCTTTTACACAACATCTGCATTCACCATTCAGACACATTCATATACTGCAGCCTGGAGGAGCCGGGGATTGAACCGCCGACCTTCCAATTAACGGGCAACCCACTCTTCCTCCTAGCTAATGCCAGAGAACCGATTTCTGTTCCTTTGATTGACATTTGAAGAAGCATTCAGTAGTTCAAGTGTTTGCTTCTACAGCCAACTTGATGGAGAATGTAGGATTAAAGACGTTACCAGTCTGTTCGGTGAAACAATTACTATGCTCTGTATTACCTCATTACTTTAAAATGGTCAATAATTTGTTTGCAAACAATAAATTGCACTTTATTGAATGTATTGAATCAGTTAACAGCAGCCTGGCAGGGGTGCTAGCTGTTTCCAGATGTTAATATGCTGCATTCAGGATGAAGTCTGCTTTCTGCCTGAGGATCATATTTTGTAAGATTTTCATGTTAAGAGATCAACGTTAAATATAATTTAACATTGTACATCTGTCTTTGTTCAAAACAAATACAGAGGACAGGTTTCTATAGGCCATAGATTTCTCTATCACATGTTATTTAGGCCAGGAAAACTAACAGTTCTGGATCAAAAGAATTGTCTGCTCTCCAGGGAAGCAGACTTGGTTCAGGCCCAATGCAGATTTCATGCTATTCTGGACTGCTGAAAACCTGGATTCTGTTTTGCTCTTCAGCACTTTGCCAAAGAGTTCTGCCATAATTTTTGTGCTCACAATTGCAAGTTTGTGACCATACATTAGGTCACCAATACAACAGATGTCGTGTTTTATAAATCAGTGTTTGCATCACTGGTCAAGGTGATGACAGAATTTGGGACAAAGGCAGACTAGACTCACACCCTGTGTCATAGTTATTGATATATGACATATTGTAAGTGATTTAGGATGTTTGTCTACATGACTCTTTTTGTTTAAGAAATGTTCCCATATTTAGTTATGTGTGGTTGTAATGAATTTGATTTTCTTATAATTTCCCCCCTAAAACTGTGAACAAGAATCCTTAAAACAGCATTGAGATTTTCAAAATAAGAACACATTTAAAAATAATGAAATAAGGTCACATATCATCAAATTAGATCTTATTTCGACATGATAAATGTGATCGTTTTTACATGTAATGCAATGTTTGAAGTCTGATTCGACATGGAGTCTACTTCTGTATTCATTGTGGAAACTAAGAAAGTTGCTTATAGTTTATCACATTAGTAATTTGTCATCAGCAAAATATCAGCTACTCTCTGTCTGCAGTGAAATGCATCATCACAGTTGTCTGTCATAGAAAGTTTGTCCGAGTATGGTAGGTTTTTGCCAGGATGCCGAGATTCCAACCTAAACTGCCTCACACACTCACTGTGATTGCAACCACTGCTGACCAATGCACTAGAGCAGTTACTTGTTAAGTGCATTGCTAAATGGCACATTTAAGAAAGTTGTCTTTGAAGGAGAAGACCTAATGTACCCTTCCAGCTGTCCAAATTTGACTACTATCCATCTCTCAATAGCTCCAGGCTGCTGCCTCACTCCCCTTTCAAGGTTTATGAAGTAAAGCGATTATCTTCCAAATAGTAAAATGTAGTGTAAAATTTATGTTGTTAATTCATTCTGAATATGTAATTCATAGCTCTGGAAATACTGCTATCTTTTGTGATACCCAATAAACAGTCAATAGACAGTAATAGATTTCAGCTGCAAACTACGTAGTACATTCACTTGACATGATTCAATTGGCTAAAACCATTTCTTTGGGATAGGCGTACAGATTTTCAAGCAGCAGTGCTTTTGTTTTTCTTTGCAGCTTTGTATTTTACAAAACAAAATGATATTCTTTGAGTTTATCTGAAGGCTGCCAGTATGAATGCACTAGTCTGCTTTTATTACTGATGTAGGCATGTTTATTTACTGCACATCCTTCACTCAGATCATTTTCTAGTCTGAAGGATAGTGTATGTTGCATGACAGTTTTCCACCTACTACAGTATGATTTATGTTTCTCTACTACTGGTACACTATTGGCCAGGTAATTTCTCTTACTATTCAGCAGATAACACTGGATTTTGACCACATGCAAACCTTCAAACTCAGAACAACACAGTCACAACAGACTATATATATATATATACACTGAACAAAGTTATAAACGCAACACTCTTGTTTGTGCCCCCATTCATCATAAGCTGAAAAGATCTACACAAAAGGCCTATTTCTCTCAAATATTGTTATAAAATATTGCTGTATAAAAAAAACAAATCCATCCACCTCACAGGTGTGGCATATCAAGATGCTGATCAGACAGCATGGGTATTGCACAGGTGTGTCTTAGGCTGGCCACAATAAAAGGCCACTCGAAAATTTGCAGTTTCACTGTATTGAGGGGGTCCGGGGGCGTCAGTATCTGGTGTGACCACCATTTTCCTCACGCAGTGCAACATATCTCCTTCGCATAGAGTCGATGAGGTTGTTGACTGTGGTCTGTGGAATGTTGTCCACTCTTCAATGGCTGTGCGAAGTTGCAGTCAGGTCGAGATCCCGATGAGGATGACGAGCATGCAGATGAGCTTCCCTGAGACGGTTCCTGACAGTTTGTGCAGAAATTCTTTGATGTGGAGGTCGTGGGCTGGTGTAGTTACACGTGGTCTGCGGTTGTGAGGCCGGTTAGATGTACTGCCAAATTCTCTGAAACGTCTTTGGAGACGGCTTATAGTAGAGAAATGAACATTCAATTCACAGGCAACAGCTCTGGTGGACATTACTGCAGTCAGCATGCCAATTGCACGCTCCCTCAAAACTTGCGACATCTGTGGCATTGTGCTGTGTGATGGAACTGCCCATTTCTGAGTGGCCTTTTATTGTGGCCAGCCTTAGGCACACCTGTGTAATACCAATGCTGTCTGATCAGCATTTTGATATGCCACACCTGTGAGGTGGATGGACTATCTCGGCAAAGGAAAAGTGCTCACTGACACAGATTTTGACAGATTTGTGAACAATATTTGAGAGAAATAGGCCCTTTGTGTACATAATGAAAGTGTTGCCTTTTGTTCAGTGTATATATCTGTGTGTGTGTGTGTATATAGTCTATTGTAATTATCTGAAGACCTACTGTCCACAAGAGGGAAGTGTTATCACAGTCATCCTCCCATTCCATTAATTTGCTGGTAGCAGCCTTATAGGTCTGATCCTGTTTGGTTGCTTCTGGAGAAAAGGATGAACAGGCAGAGTAGTGAGGAGGAAGGAAGGAAGGAAAAGGAGGGCTGGGCACGGTTAGTCTGCTCACACAGATTGCTCATGAGGTAAAAAATGCACATGCACACACATGTGCAACATACTGTATATAGTTGAAGATGAAAGGAAAATGTTTTAATGACTTCCTCAAAGATCATCATAATAAAAATCATCCTCCAGTTTCACTTACCCTATTTTTAATTTACAAAACATTACTTCACTCTTTAAAGGTGACTATATCTTAACCTTTACATCCCCACCCTGACTTATTTGTTAGACTTGTGGTTCACATGAGTTCTGGGATGCTGCAGGTGTCATTTAGTGGACTCTTGATGGTGCCCTGCAATTAAACAATACAATTCTTTCTCACTTAATCAACTAATTTGTAGTTAGTGATGTAATAATCAATTCATGTTGCTGTTTCGTTTCTGGGTTTCAATGCCAGTGCCCCACCTGCCTTCAAGGTGGTTCTCAAAATGTGATATGCATGCTCTTTTGGTCATTGGACATGGAGGAGAAAATAGGTTAAATTGACAAAGTAAAAATGTAGGCAGCTTCCTCTACATATAATTTCAACTTTTAACCTTTGTTTAAGGCACCACAAGGTAATTTTTGGTTCTAATTGTGATTCTCGTTTCCCTTCAGTCTCCAGGGTTTCGGTGGCTCTGTGGGTCATGTGAGATTTCATCATGTGAGTGGTGTTTCACATTGAATTGTTTCACTTCAACATGACCATACACGCTGTGTTACTGTTCTTTTCTCACATCCTCACCCAGTCTCGTCGGATCTAAATATATTCTCCTCAACTAGTTTTCACTTGTATCACCTTCTGCTCGGAAGGGGTGATTAAACACCCTCGACGTGCAAGAAAAGTTTGGCGATCACTTCATCGCAGACTACCAGGCTGCTGTTTCTTTTATCTTTTCCAGGCGATGCTTTGCATTTTGCAGGACAATCCAGGCTCCTCCCCTGCACAACGTCACCCGATCCCGATCTCTCCCAAAGCGTCAGCGATAGTCAGCAACACACTGTGGTGGCAGATCAGCGGGGCGGTACGCATAGCAGGATAAAGCTAAACTGTATTATCCAAAAAAGAACGAGGAAAGGGGGCCACATCCCACCATTTCCAGAGTTACAGCAACTTACCCAGCCTGGTGTGCTGATCTCTTCGGCTGGCCGTGGCTACAAACAGGGAGAACCGGGAACTTGAGCAAGTAAAACAGGCACGGTGCCAGCAAATGATCTGTTAGGTGCTGTGTCAGTTTTGTAGACGGAGGGAAAAAAAGCGACATTTCTCCGGAGGAACTCTCCCAAGTGTTGGAAACTTTCCAGCGCAGCATCGATCGAGGACATCCCGCCCACTTTACCTCTGATCCACAATCCTGGAAGGGGGAGAGAGAGTTCTGCACCCGCTGCGGTGGATGGAGCAACAAAGGCTAGATGGTTAAACTAGAAGAGCTGCTTTGACAAGAACCCAACTGTCCTTGATCTCCTCGTCTGTTGTTCCCTAAAAGACTCCATCATCACGGCAAATCTGCAGCCGCCTGGATCTCATTTTGGGGATCCGTCCAGGTTCTACTTAGTGCAAACTCTCCGCCAGCCAGGGAATCGCCGCAGACGTGAAATTGATGCTTTGGTACGGAAGAGCGCACCACAGATCCTTTAGTTTTGCCAAAGTGTCCTACTGCTCATTGAGGGAGATAGACTAGTTTGGGCCGAAGTGGGATTTGCAGAAGTTACATGCTTGGTCTTTGTCTTCTCGAGTGAGCACTATTCGTCCACACTCACGTTATCGCACGAGATTCCGGATAGTTGAGGAGCCATGGCGATGTGTGTGGGGATGTGGATACTCCTGTTAGCACTGCATGTCCAAGGTAAGCCTTCGGAAATAGACTTCAGCAGGGAATCATCTGAGACATGTCTGCCTTATTTTATCATCACCTCCCTGCTCCATAGTGTGTGTGCTGCGTGCTGTTTTGCAATAATACACACTTAATAAATGCATGAATGGTTGCGTCGATTTGAGTGTCTGGTGTGTGTTTTGCAACAAGATGTGCATCAGTGAGGGAGAGAAAATTGAAAAGTGTTCCATGTCTTAGAATCCAACCCTCACAAAAACGGCTGCAGAATACTTATTTGGCTGCAAAATAATGAACTTACCCGGGCAGCAGGCAGATGGCGATATGTGCGAACCCGTATAGGCCAGCAGTCTCCAAGTTTTCCAATATCTCATTGTAATGGCAACTCGGAGCCACAGAGAGCTCCTGAATGATCACTGAAGTCTGTTATACCCCGCTTCTGCCAGTTAGTTGAATATTGTAAATAATTAGAATGTAAAGACACTGTCAAAATGTGAACGACATCCACAGGGAATTTCACATTTTTTCACATTCAATCATGATGTTTTCTGAGGAAGAGTGACTCAAGATATGATGACACTTGTCTTTGGCTCCGGTCTTACTTTGAGAAATTGTTCTGAATACATAATAGATCTTAGGAGACAGAGATGGAGTGTGTGTGTGTTGTGGGCGGAGGATGATGTGTTGAGGGAAGCACTGGTGGTTGATAAATGGAGTGATAAGTTGACATTGATCATCCTGACATTAAAACATCCCAAAGTGGGCCTAATATTTTAAACGTGCTTAATAAGTGTATTTGACACTTATTGGAAGCGGCATCATTATTCTGGTTATATCGACAAACTTCTAATTGGAAAACAAACAAGCCAGCAACAAAAAAACATCAATCTACGCCCTCTGTGTGTGTGTTTGTGCATGTGATCCATTATGCAAAAGGATTTAAGGCTTAGCTGAAAGTTTACTGGTTTGTTTACATCTTAGACAAGTAAATTCTGTCTGGCGCCCATATTTTAAGAAAGGAATGGACAAGGGTCAAGTGTGGTCAAGAAATGTAAGATCATGTTTTGAATGGCACTGACATCCTTGTTTTCTCTGACAGACTGCAGAATCGACATGTTTACTTAATGTGATGTTTTGGTGATCCTTTTCTGGTCTAGACTGAAAATTCTCTTCTAGGCCAATATTTTGTCACATCTGGGATGTGTTTTTTCACCTCCCTCGAGCTCAGGAACAACCAATATGTTGACCTTGTTCGCAGTGAGGTTCCTTATGGCGTCATGTGTTTAAGACTGATTCAATACTTTGATCAAAAGCCCCAACTGATTTACATTGAGATGATCTCTTTGCTTGTGGAGAAGATCAGGATTAACTGGTTCCCTTGGGATTCACAGTGGAAATCTTTTGAAGCTGTTCAGTCAAGTGAATGAAAAATGTCTCAAAAATTACACTTAAAGCATTCTGGAAATGTCTCATTTGAGGAAAGCAGGAGATTAAAATAGATTTCTAAATCTAATTACACATTTTGAATGCATTTTGAATTTTTTTTCTTTGTTTCACTGCTGTAGTTTATTAAAACCAAAGTGACTGCATAATTCATGCTTTCAGACATCTTCATGTATGGGAGGGCTTGGAAATTTTTTTATTTCAGCAGATGTTTAGACCCATTTCTTTTGACATGCAAAAACAAGAATTTGGTCTTTTGCCCTGAGGTTAAAGGGCATTGCCATAAATGCCCACAGTCTTTGATGTTCTAATTGATATACAACATGTTCCAGACTCTTCCCTCATTACCAAAGCACAAACAAGTGGGGGAATGGCCTTAACAAATGCAAGTAGCAGCAAACCCTGTTGCAGTTACCCATTAGGGAAAGCCATTTGTGCTTGTCATTATAATAACCATTTGTAGAAAACACAGGAGTGCCAAATTCATAAACAGAAAATATTCCGAGCTGCTCGCCAAATAGATTATCAGAAAGGAACATTGAGAATAATGGATCTGTGAATAATAACAGCAGCTCTGTTCCTCCTTTCTTATATTAGCACTCAGTCTCTCCAGTATTCCAGACTGATATTTAATTGAGTGTGAATTGAATTAGCAACCAGGTGGTTGTTTATGGCTTGGCTCCATCCTTGGGTCCTGTTGCTGAACGAACCCATATAGATATCACTCTCAGAGGTGGGATAAAGAGATTTTCCAGCTCTAATTCCTCATCTTAGTTGGATTAAACATTTGGGAAATGAAAGCTGAATGGTGTACGAGCATCAACTTTGAATGTACTATTATTCAGGAAGGGAAATTGTTTAGCTGTGAATTATAATCTTTGTAATAACTTGGCAGCATGCACGCTGAAATCATTCTCCTGGAGACCCCTGTTGTTCAGTTCTGTCAGTCATTCCAAGCAGCCTCTCATATGAGTTTCTCTAGAATGTTTAGTAGTAGGCTTCTCGTATCTACTCATATGACAGTACACCTGCATTGGCTTGTGTATCACTTCCCTTTAACTGTTTGATTCTCATGTGATGTCCCCCGAGAGATATGAACCACGGGTGATGTTTCCTGTTTTGCTTTGATAGACAGCTTTACTTTTTTTTGACTCTTTAGGGTTAATTGTGCAGCTAACTGCCTGATTTTTATGTACAAGCTTGTCACCTAAGCTTGACACACCACAGTTCATTTTAATTCATGAGAAACCATCTCATGCTGTGCTGCTGCAGTGTGTATTTGTTTTTCAGACTCATTTGTTGCACATTGAAGTCTACCTTTAGTGTACAAAATTTCACATACTACATGCAGGGGGTTGGCCCTGCGATGGACTGGCGACCTGTCCAGGGTGTACCCCGCCTTTCACCCAATGTAAGCTGGGATTGGCTCCAGCCCCCCGCGACCCTGTACGCAGGATAAGCGGTTGACGATGGATGGATGGATGGACATGCAGGGGGTCTGGGGAAAATTGCAGGCATGTTCATAAATAGAGTTGAAAAAGCTGTTTGATGTTGAGCACTGAAAAAGCCTGGAAAATGTTTCTTTAGATGGAAGGAATACTGCTGCCCCTTTGGAGCATTGTAATTAGCATTTTGACTTGGCTAATTTCTTCCTCTCTTTTGATGAAAACTAATTGCTGGTCTGTGGCATTTTGCATTTTATTTGTATGACAGTTGTGATATAGTGAAATGGAGAGAGTCACTATGGGATTGTTAGGCCTTGATGGTTTGAGTGTGAATGCAAATTGCTCTGATCCTCATTCCTTTGGGGAGTCTGCCTTTGGTCCCTGCTGAGGTGATGGATGGGAGAGAGAACTCAGAGTCCTTGGAGACCAGCTTGAGGGGAGCTGACAGGAGATTAAGCTTCGCTTTTGCCATAGGAACTAATGGAGGCACTTGGCCACTCAAACTTCATCTCTTTGAGCATTTAGCTCATTGTGGTTCTACTGTCAGCTCTTTAGCAAATCCTTCTCAAAACATTGCGTGAAATGTCTCAGTATAGCATAGGTTTTTTTTGTCTGCTATGATTCTTGAAATGGAGTGGCCCTTCATTCATTTTAGAGGCCGCAAGTGATTTTTTCTTTCTTTGGCAAAATATTTGAATTAGCTAAGTTTTGTTCCATACTGAGGCACATTCTCAGTTTTCTTTGGAAGTTCTTGATGCACATTTCCAGCCCCTGTGGTCTCTGCATAAAGGCTGCGTAACACAAAATAGATGAATAAAACATGATGATAAGCACTGAACCTAAATAATAGAAAGGTTATGACAAAATGGAGTGTTCTCTGCGTGCAGAAGACTGCAGTAAATAGTATTAAAGACTGAATGAATGTTAAATTAAGTTCACCTCTAGCATTTTTTAGAGTCTGTAGGTGCAGGATTTTGACACATTCAGCTCTGCTGTATGTCTCTGTGATGATAAAATAGTTTGGATCTGATCCCCCTGTCACTGTATTAAGCTATTTTAGGGAATCAGGAAGTTTAATCAAATATCACAAGTATCACAAATTTGTCCTAGACACGGGCTGTCTAAGGTTACCATATTGCTTGTTTTGTTAGAACATGCAGTTCAGTATCATAATATGCAGTGTTTTCATTTGTTGAGTTTTTTTGTATTGAGTGTCTGTTAGGTGTCCTCTCCTGCTCTGTTACTTTCTGTCACCATATTGGATCAGAATGGAAAACACGTTTATCAGCAAACTGCAGCTGCAATGCTTTAAATCCTTGAAATTCTTCTCTGTTTCAACTCAAATCGCAGAATCAGCAAAGTAAGGAAAATCAATAAAGGGGATCAAATCTCGCCCTGAGCTTTTCTGATTTGGCATTAATCTGTCGAGTCTTTTTCTTTCTATTTAGCCGATCCTTGTCAAGGGATTAAATGGTTAAATTCCTGTTCTGCTCTTGAGAATGAGAATGGCATTGACTGACTACACTTGTTCCACATTTCTCTTGCAATTTGTCAGATAGCTGTTCCAGTATCTTAGAATAGGTTTATTATGGTTCCCGAGTTGATGTAAGTCTTCTCTGAAGAAAAAGTAAATAATTTCCCTCATGTTGGAGGGATTCTGACAGTCTGGTTTTTATATGACACTGTCTTGGCTTGCCACTAGCTAGTAGAGTTTTGTTGCACTATTTCTTCTTTAGTGCTCAGTTACTATAGTTACTACCTGGCTGTAATCAGCCATTTCAGTTAAAGACAAATCATATTTATTTTGTCACAGGAACTGCATCCATTTCTGTGTTTTTCAAGCTGCTATTTGAAAGGAATTCAGCCTTTTAATGCATAATTTCAGTTATCGTTTGCAGTCGTCTTATATTTTCTGCTTTGCCTGTTTAAAAAAGGAAACCATATGGGAATACAATTTTTGCTCATTGTGCCTGAGCTTACAAATCGGTCATTTAGTTAGGGGCTGATCTGGTATTGAGAGGGCTGATAACTTCTGGTCTTGCCACTCAGATTGTATGTCTTTAAAATAAAGCAGATCTTGTAAGTGCTGTCCCCACCCCCATGTGTGACTGCCTGAACAAATCACTT